CCCAGCCCGGCCGGCCCACCTCCCGCTTCTTCAGTGGGTGTGGAAATCGCAGCCCCCTCCCCAGCGCAAGCCATGCAATATTCAGCAGGTCAAGTTCTCCCCCAGCCACCGGCCCTTCCCTCCCCCTCTGCACCAGCCCCAGCAAGAATGGAGTTGCGTTGTGACCCTCTTCCTCCTCCTCCTCCTCCTCCTCCTCAAGTGGGCAGCTCTGGCGTGGAAACCATTTCCAACAGCCTAGGATCCCGGGGCCGCTCAAAGGGGAAAGCTGGACAATAATCTGAACGATCCAGCTGTTCTGTCTCTTCCTCTCCTGCCGCTGCAGCTGTTTCCTCCCTTCCCCACCCAGTTTTTCTGCCCTGAACTCAAATCAGCAACACGGGCATATTCTTCAGCTGCCAGTCCCCCTTTCCCTCTCCTGCCTTTGTGGCACAAAGGGGGCTGCCCCTTGGTCTCTTCACTGTCCCCCCATCCTTGGAAATCAGAATAGGTGCAAGGGGTCTGTGTGTGGGGGGTAGGCTTGGCTTTGCTAGGCAAGGATACAGGACGGGGACCGCACAACTCTTCTGACACTGTACAATGACAATACCCAGCATCCCCAGGAATCTCGGGCTTATGGGAATTGGGGACCTAGGCTGAATGGATAGCCCACCCCCCAGTCCACTCAGCAGACACATACAGTAGAAACAACATACATTTAAAAAGAGCAGGATTTTGATTGCCTGGTTGAGGCCACCATATTGACTTTTTTGCCCCCCTGGCACTCCTGATCAGGATAGAAAAGGATAATCCAAGACTCCAGCAGCAAAGGGGTCCCATCTTCTTTTCATTTTCAGTTCTGGCCCTATTTCCAAAAGTTTCTTATGGTCCATAAAAAAGTTCAGCAACTGCTAAGAGGTCCCCACTCTCAACTCTTGATTTGTTTATGTGACTTGGTGGAAACTCAGCATGCCAGGACCAAGCCTGGATGGACATTTTGCTCCAAATATGACTCTCCAGCCTCTCTTTAAACCATAATTTACTTGCAGCTTTTGTCATATTTATTCTTGTAAATATTACAAATTTAGCCATCCGTATTTGGCAGTATGTGTTCTGTTGTGGCTTCTGCTAACCAAATTGTTTGGATTATTATTATTATTCATTGTTATTATTATCCAAATGATGAATGCATATTGTTTACAAGCCAGGAAACATCGAGCATAAAAATCCTACTCCAGGTTGGGGAAATTCAGATCAAGCCAGGCAGGATGTTACACAGGTCACTTAAAATATCCCAGGGATCTCAGGTATTTATGTAAAAGCAGAGCAGAAGGCAGTTTTTATTTAAAAAGGGTTAGGGTTAGGGTTAGGGTTAGGGTTAGGGTTAGGGTTAGGGTAATATAGTAATTCAGGGACATCGTCCCTTCATAAATAAATAAATTGTCCAGGCAACAAAAAGGGTATGTTTTGCTCAAAAAGTCCAAAATGGTTTCTGCAAAATCTGTGATAGCCCTAATGGTTTGGGCCCAGGGTGAGAGTGTCACTGGAAGCCCCCATAGAAGATAGATTTTTATAATCTATCAGGGCAATATATCTACTTTTATTCTCAGCTTCCTAAACCAATGACGTAGCCATGATGCCTCTGCAGTGGTGCCAAAATGACATGCGCAGGGTGATCTCGTGACACAAAGGCCTTCCTTCTATACTCACAACCCAACGTGCTGATGCAGTGTTTCCCAAGCTTGGTAACTTGAAGATGTGTGGACTTAACTCCCAGAATTCCCCAGCCACCTATTCCTGCTCTTTATGATTTTCCCTATGTTGTCTTTGGAAATAATATCCCTTTTTAAAAAGTAGAGCCATTTCATTGACTTGCGGGGCTGAAGAAATCAACAACCTTTTAGCTTTCTAGTTTCCCCCACTTCACTATAACCCAAATGGATGATGATGATGATGATGATGATGATGAGCAGCAGCAGCAGCAGCAGCAGCAGCAATTGTTATTATTATCCAAATGATGAATGCGTATTGTTTACAATCCAGGAAATATTGAACGTTAAATCCTGTTCCAGATTGGGGAAATTCAGATCAAGTCAGGCAGGATGCCTAACACATCACTTAACATGTCACCTTATACAGGGAAATGAATTCCAGTGGGGGATTGATTGATTGAGGGATTGAGTGATTATGTGCAATCAAATTGTTTTTTACTCCTAGTGACCACATAGACAGATTTTCTCCATGACAATCTATCCCAAACCTGGTCCTTGAGGTCTTCCAACGGTGCCCCCATCGCCAATGTAACTGAGTCCATCCACATTGCTGTTGGTCCTCCTCTTCTTTTTCCTTCCATCTTTCCCAGCATTATAGACTTTTCAAGAGAGCTAGATCTTCGTGTTAATTAACTGATTACATGCCATCAAGTTGGTGTCAACTCTTAGAGACCACATAGATAAATTTTCTCCATGATCTGTCCCTAACGTGGTCCTTCAGCTCTTCCAACGTACTGAGTCTTGCTACTGGTCCTCCTCTTCTTCTCTTTCCTTCCACCTTTCCCAGCATTAGGGCCTTCTCCAGAGAGCTGAATCTTCACATAATGTGTCTGAAGTAGGATCATTTGAGCCTGGTCATTTGTGCCTCAAGCGAGGACTCTGGGTTGATGTGTTTGATGATCCATTGACTTGTTTTCTTGGCTGTCCACAGTATTCTCAGGAGTCTTCTCCAACACCAAAGTTCAAAGGCATCAACACTCTTCCTATCTTCCTTCTTCAAAGTCCAACTTCTGCTTCTGTGGAGTGTCACAGGGAATACCAGGGCTTGCAGAATCCTGATCTTTGTAGGTATAGACACATCACAGCATTTGAATAAAGGATTTTAATTAAAAACATAAGCCAGTTACAAACTTAACTGCTTCTGTGAGCTAACTTCACTGAGAATTTATGTCTGGTTGAAATTATGCAGCATAAATTAATCGTAAACTCTGCCCCTTGGCTTTCATTATTTCGGGAAAGGGGAGGTGAAAGAGTGAAATCAATTTTCATAAATGCAGTGGATTTGTGCACTGTGAACAAAACTCTGCCACAGGCTCTTGCAGAGATTGTCGAGAACAGTTTAAATTAAGCAATACATTATTAATCACAGCAAATCGAGCTAGCTGCATATTATATCTGCCATTCCAGGGGATTAGTTCAAACTGGCAATGCTATTTATTGCTCCAAAAGGTAACTGTTACTTTACAGGCAATTACAAATGCTTGCACGTTTTTCACTAAAATTGTCTGGGGCAATTACCTCATCAACAAAAAATCCTTTGCCCTCCTCCAGATATTTCTATCCGTGTTAATTGTAAATGTAGGTTTTACCCTTCCAACCTCTGCTTTCACGCTTCATGCATATTTCAACATGGCCATGCGGATCCACCTACCAATGTTTTACTTTTTATTTACTTATTAAATTTATATGCCGCCCATCTGCCCCAGAGGATGACTCTGGGCAGCTCACAATTAAAATCAATCATTAAAAACAGTAAAGATATAAATATCCATATTAAATTAGCTTAAAAAATACTATATGCAATTCAAGATGATGGGGGGGGGGGCAGAATCAATTACCCCACCAGCCAATTCCAGCAACGAGAGCCCCATCCTGCCCCCAGGCTATCTGGCACAGCCAAGATTTCACACTCTTCCAGAAGGCCATGAGAGCGGGGACGGATGGCAACTCAGGTGGTAAGTTGTTCCACAGGGTGGGGACCATGGCAGAAAAGGCCTTCTTCCTAGACCCTGCCAGCTAAAATTCCTTGACTGGTGGGGTCCACAACATGCCTCTTCTGCCAGACCGAGTGGGGTGGGCTGATATAAGGGGGGCGAGACGGCTCCTCAGATAACCGAGTTCTGTGCCATGAAGGGCTTTAAAGGTAATAACCAACACCTTGAATTGGACCTGGAAACAAACCGGCAACTGATGCAGCTCACGTAACAGAGGTGTTATATGTGCCCCCCGGGGGTGTTCAAAACTGTCCACATCACTGCATTCTGCACCAGCTGTAGCTTCTGGATACTCTTCAAGGGTAGTCCCATGTAGAGCGCATTGCAGTAATCCGACCGGGAGGTGACCAGAGCGTGAGCGACCGCGCAGAGGGCCTAATATCCAGTCTGCAGAGATGTTTTCTACTAACCCTGTGACTTTGAAGCTATCCAAATTGTTCCAAAGTAAGTACTTTTGAAAACTGCAGCTGGGAAGCAGTGATTTAGGACAGCTTTACCCAATCTGCAGGGTGTGCACTCCACTTCCCAGAATCCCCAGCTAGCAAGGCAATCGCTGAGAATTCTGGGAGTTGAAATCCATGCAACTGGTAGGTGATCACTGTGGGGAGGCTGTGTTAGAACACGCGTGCCCCTTTTCCATACACATAAGAATAACTTATGAATGCCTGGTCAACAAATAAAAGCCTGCATTCTTGTTCAAACCAAAGCCATATGCAAATAAATGTATGTTTCTTTATACATTTAAAGTATTTTGCCCCACTCTTCTTCCATAAAAGGCTCACAATGCAAAGCAGCTTATTAGTTACATATAAAAGACATGGTTCCAAAAGAAGAGAGAGAGAAAGAGAGACAAGAAGGAAACTCTCCAACATCCATTCTTGGTTGCAGCACTCCTTCTAGCCAAGAAGGTGATGTGAGTTCCTTAGTGTACCTTTTCTGACCAGGCTGGATTTTCTTCTAGCTATGATGTTCTCCCAGGGCGGGGGCAAGAACTACAGCCTCCCAGGCACTGTTCATTATTTAATCATCTGTTAATTCACACCTAGTAGAGTCCTTGAACCTAACGAGACTCTCATGGTTTCTCCACCTTGAATGCAACTGCTTTCACAGATGTTTTGTTCTTGCACATCTCATAGCATCTGCACCATGAGGTGGTAAGAACACCTGCTTTCCTTCCAGATTATAAATTCAGGGGTCAACATCTCCAGGGAGCTAATAGGGAAAACCCCATTCTCCTTCTGAACCTCTGAAAATGCTGTCCGTCCAAGACATTTCCATAGGATCTCCGTGCCTTTCCAGACAGGGATCTCCTTCTCTCATCCTTGGTACGTGCTCAGCTTTAGGAAATGTGTAACATATGAATTATAAATTGCAGGAAATTACACAAGCATGGATGGAGTGGCCATCATCTGCCACATTGAGTAAGCTACTACAGTCCACTAGGACATAGTACCCTGGAAGTGATCAAGTGAAGGGGTCTCTGCACCCTGGACTGTCTTCCACTATTCCACATTCACCCACACCTGCTTTCTAACTGATTTCTAATTTGTGAATTTGCATTGCAGGAATAGATGCTCAACTGAACTCAACCTTGTGACTTCCTGATACTTCTTTTCCATTGCTCTTCCGAAGTGTTTCTGAGTTTGTTGGAAATGACAGAGGGGAGCACCACTGCTGCTTTTCCAAGAGCCTCTTTCCATTACTCAGAAGCCTCCTTAGATTCTCAGCCTTCCAGTCCAGGGTGGGAAGGGGACATGGAAGGAGTTCCCTTGGAATTTCCTGGAGGGGTTGAAAAGCAGGGAGGACACAAACTGTGAAGAGACAGGACATTCATGCACATCCCTCGGCCACTTGGTGTATAAATCAGTGCAAGAGTCCCAGATTTGATCACTGTTTTCTTCTCTTTTGAAAGGGTTCCAAAACACATTCTGTTTCATTCAACAGAGTAAAAGTTGGAAGGAAAACTATGGCACTTTTTCTGCAGGGCCCTAGTTCCTGTCCTGTATAGGAATTCAGACGGACTACTGGGGTCAGAGAATGAAGCAAAGAGAGGAGTAAAATGGCAGGAGATTTGGAGACCATCTCGGGCCACCCAGTTTACCGCACGTCACATCTTCCAACTGATTCCAGCAAATCTTCACCCTAACAAGAAGCCATAGGTGCAACAGCCTAGTTCTCGGGTCCTCTCTAATGTTGGTTTATTAACACTATGTAGCTTTCACTATAGGACAAATCTCCTTCAAATCTATGGGTCTGTTTCCCACTCTCAGCATTTTCCTCCAACTTTTTCTTTCTGTCTCACTGGCTTTGATGGAAAGAAAATCTTGAGCCCTTCCTCATGAATAAATGGCCTTTCAAATAAATAAATTCTACTATCCTAACTGTAGAGAAACCCTCAGGACACAGATCCTGCTTTCCAAGGATTTCTTACCCTCACAGGAAACCATCTGCTTAGGATCAGTTAATGGTTGCATACAGTTGCAGTTCTGGATTATGGCATCAACACTAAACAAGCATCTTTCAAGCAGCTCCCCAAGATGATGATGATGATCATTATTACTGCATCTTAATAATATTATTAGAGCATTATTGAATAACATGATATCTCTGGTCCTATCAGTTTTCATTCCTTGTGGGACTGTCAACACTCACCAAGGTGGACAAGGAATCAGACTGGAAACTGGATCAAGTTTAGCCTCATTTCAGGATACAACCTTAAGATTGCAATTCTGGGGTTCCTAGCCACCACACCAAAGGGTTAAATCAGAGTCATTCACTTGCCTGCCAGCCACTTGAAGGTCCATGTCCTCCAACTGCTTCTTCCTTTCTGCAGACCAGACAGAAAAACTAAAGGGGAAATCTAGAATTGCTCAGCTCCCTTTATACCTATCTCAAGGTAGCCCACTTCATCTATTAAAGCTCTCATTTAAGCGAGGGGCTTCTTTAGGGTCCCTTTGCACCCTGATGATGGCTATTTATCAGGCAACCAGTCATCTTAAGAGCAGCAAAAGCAGCTATTTAGAAGGAAGAGCAGCTTCTCCAGAGTTCTTTCTGGCACCTCTTGGAAGTTTAGGTCCTCTTTCTCTCCTTAAAGGGTTTCCAGCAAATACTTTAACTATTGACCTAGCTGGCCTCAAACTTGCTTTAGAGCTGGAGAGAAGTTCCTCCAGAAGTTCTGTAGGAGGATTTCTCTTTTAGGACTCCCCATGGTCAGTTCAAGAGATCTTTAGCCCAGCCGCTGATAATTCTGTGACTCTCCCACGCACATCACTCTTCCATGCCAGGAAAGGATGCACAAAGATTGGGGGGGGGGGGCATCCAGAGATCCCACTTTAAACTGGAAACAACACGTATCACCTTTTAGCCTTTGTTTTAATTTATCCACCAGCATGATCACGAGAACTTTTTTTTTTTTTTCTGAAATGTGAATTTTTTAAGATACTCCTTTTCTGGCAGGAGTTCCTCTAAAATTTGGGGGGAAAGAGCATACTTCAAAAAGCGCAAAATAAAATTGGCTTCTCCGGTTTTCACGACCAAAAAATAGAGGGCTTCGTTCTTCGGCCCTGCACCCACGGCCAGGAACTTCCCAGAGATTCTGCTCTTTTGAGGCACCAAGGCTTGGCACGTTAACTCTCCTTGTGCTAGAGTGCCCTCTACTGTTTCCCCTGTCTTTGTGCCATACGAACATGATACAAGCAAACTTCCCAAAATGGGCTAGCCTTAATGTGCTTGATTTGGTTCCGGCTTAGCATGCTGCGGGAATCTAGCCACTGTGGTTTATAAACCCCATTCGGATCTTAATGTACTCTGTGAACCCAGCCAGCCATGTTTACTCAACAATCCATGATTAAACCAATGCTCGCTTAGCGTGGCAGGCAAGCCAAGTCATAATTTCAACTTGAGGAACAGCTCTCTTTAAGAGCTGCATTAGGACACAGCACTTTCATTACTTGATTCATTAAAGTAGCTGCATCTTTTTCAGGCTTATTAGAAAGACCACAATTAATGTGGTTCCTTTAATGAAGAGAGAAGCGATGCCCACTTCCACACTGTTTTCACAGTGGGCACACACTATGGTTTATAATCAAGGTCAGTTTCTTCGGGGACAATCCAGAGCGTTTTGGCTACCGGATCCTGTAACAGCGTAGTACCGCATCAAGGGGACAAAAGGGACTTAGGAATAATCAGTGGGAAACTGACTTGGCCTTGAAACTGAGAAATCGAACTTACTTTGGGATGATGATCTCTACCAGCTTCAGTGGGCCTTTCAAATGTATGTTGGAAATGTGAGCAACGTGAAGGGACATTTTATCATGCCTGGGGGACATGTAAAAAAGTTAACAAATTTTGGATTCGAATACATACACTGATACAGAAGATTTTAAAGATTAATATTCAATTGAAACCAGAACTTTTCCCTTTAGGATTGATGGATAAAGAGTTAGAAAAACACCATGGAAAAGATTATTTCAATATATGATCACTGCAGCAAGAGAAATGATATATGAGAAACAGCACACAGCATCTTTGTCCTTTAAAAAAGGGATGACAAAAAGGTCGTACAAACTTTCTGGAATAACCAGGAAACCAGGTAGGCCAAATCCACTGATTGAAAGCGGGGGGCTGCTTAGCTTTAGTTCTTCTAGTTACTGAGCTAAAAACAAGGCAACGAAAACTACGGAAAGGCTATTTGGGAGAAACTCTTAGAGAGCGGGCAAGTAGCGGTACCCAGGAGCCAAGCGGAGAGGGTTTCAGCGGCCCTGTTGGACTCTGCCATCCGTGGAAGGCCTCTGGATACTGGAGATGATCAGCGATGCATGATTCAGAACTCAGTGCTATTATTAAGGCCTGGATAAAACGGGGCGCAAATTTGGAGAAAGGCATTTTCCACGATGCAGTGGCACGGGAGTAACACAACAGCCCCAAACTGGTGCTCTGAGAAACAGTTGCCCCACTGGCAGGGATGTGTTTGGAAGAAGCACAGAAGAAAAGGGGAAATTGCACATCCGTCCTGTGGCTGCTAACTCAGGCCCGGCTTACTGGAAACCAGTCTGGAAGGAGCAGATAGTCACTGAAAAGGAAAGACAGAGTTGTTGGCTCAACCGATTTTACTGGATCAGGCCAAAAGAGCACCCTGCCTTTCCCAGACTACAACTCCCAGAATCCCAGGCCTGTTGTGACTACAACTCCCAGAATCCCAGGTCTGTTGTGATGACAACTCCCAGAATTCCGAGTCCAGCATGCAGTCTAATCTCAACACTTCTAAAGGCACCAGCTTGGGGAAGGCTGGACTAGTCCAACATGTTGTTTTGCCACTAGGACTAACATGGCGCCTCCAAGAAATTCACATGGCCTAAAATCTGCCCTGATTCCCTGACAACTGACAGTTCAGGTAGACTGCTACTGGGACATGGAGGCTCCATTTGCACAAGGCTAGCAGTTAAAGGGTCCTCTGATTTAAGAACACAATTCTAAATGTCCTTGACCAAAGATCCTCCTTGTTCCTCTGCCAGCTTTTCATAGGAACCAAAGATTTCAATGAAATACACAAAAATCTTCTAAATCTCTGCAGTAGGGTAGGGAAATAGCAGGCCTCCTGGTGTTGCTGGAACACAACTCCCATCAGCCCAGGGATGAGGGGAATTGTAGTCAATCTAGAACAGTGTTTCTCAACTTTGGCAACTTTAAGACAGGTGGACTTCCTAAGCATTACTGGAGAATTCTGGGAGTTGAAGTCCACCTGTCTTAAAGTTGCTAAGGTTGAGAAGTTGCTAAGGTTTCTAGTGGGTCAAATGTCTCACTGCTGCTCTACCTCCAAGCGGTCATCCTGTTCTTTCCTTTCCATTTGCTGGGACCTTCTCCTCACCCTCACCGCATCATCATCTTCGGTGTCTTCAGAACTACTGATCACAATACTGGCGACCTCTGTAGAAAAACGCAAGTGTGAATGCCACACAATGGCTGCAGACTTTGTTATTTAGCATCTTGGAGGCAGGGAGAATTTGAGGTCTCAGGCTGGCCCTTTTGTGTAGTCAGCTGTGAGAACCACCTGGGAGACAGGAGGAAGAGCCACAACCTAGACCAGTGTTTCTCAACCCTGATGTCTTTAAGATGCGTGGGGGACTCCCCATGCTGCCTGGGGAATTCTGAGAGTTGAAGACCACGCATCTTAAAGCCATCAGGGCTGAGAAACACTGGCCTAGATGACAGTCTGATAAGAGATTGCTCAGCCCTCAGAAGAAATGGAGGTGGAGAAACCCTCCCTAGTTCTCTGGAAAGTGAAGGCAAGGGAGGGGGGAAATGCTTTCAGACGTACAAGATTCTGTTCATGTAACTTTACAATAAAGGTAGTATTAGTACTGATTGGTTTTGGTTTCCGGTCTGGACTACCTCAAAGGGTTGACCAGTTGCCTCAGCCGTCAAACCAGCTGATGCAGGTTGTCTCTCCACATATTAACCCCTGTGCTGAAATGTCCAGATCCACTGTGAATGGTGTCATTTCATCTCCCCACTGGAGAAAGTCTTCCTAGGGTGCAACCTGTGGTTTTTCTAAACGTCCTGCTTCCTCTCCTCCTACCTGTTTCACAGATCCCAGGAGGCGAGTCCTCCAAGGACTCAATCGATTTGAAAACTCCTCTTTGCTCATGTTCTGGGGTTGATTCCCGGAACGAAAGCCGTCGAGATTTGGGGCCGTCCTCTTGGGCTCGCTTGTTGGAGACTTCAGGAGCGTCATGCTCACATTCTTCCAACTTCAACATCTTGGGAGAAGCCTGGATGGACTTTTCCAACTGGGTCCCTGGTCGCTTAGTTGGTGAGATTGAGGGGGTCTAAAATCCAGATTAAAGAGACTTCTAAACCTTTGATCAGGCCAACACAGGCTTTGTGAGCAAGACAAACACAGTCTTCCTCTCCAGCAAACAGACCCATTAGTTACTATCCATCTTTTAGCAGGTAATGAGGACTCGCCTTCCCCCCAAGGCATTTCCTGTCTAAATACGGATGATTTTCCCCCTGCAATTCATTTCACCCCCCTTTCAAATGCCTATGGTTGCCTATTGTTCTTAATATATTGTAACGACGCTGTTGCATTTTTACTTATTTATTTTATTTGACCCTCAGTGCACCGCTTTGCGAAGATTACCCCAAAACTGTTACAAAAATATCCTCAATCAATAAACACACTCCAGCTAGATTTCCACAATCCCTGATGGGCTAGCTCTTCAATCAGTCCTAGAGCCCATCTCCCCAGTTCTTCTTAAAACAGGCCAAATTATCTAGTGTCTGTGTCAAACAGGAATTTTCTTTCCTAGCAGTACAGGTTTCAGTGCTTGCACTAATGGGCTGGAAAGGAAATAAAGCAATGAGTAAAATAACATCATTGCAGTCAAACCTGCTAGGTGTTTTGGGGGGAAAATGAGCAGACAGCCTTTTAGGATCAAACGCACATTAGTTTAGTTTAGAAGCAAAGGCAAGAAGAACTGATTTCAGAATCAAAAGATGTCTACTCCTGCTTCAATGAAAATTCAGTGATTTTTACTGACTTTTTTCCCTGCTATGATAAAATGGACCCCCCCCCCAAAAAAAAAGCTGAAGGAGACCAGCAGACCAGAGAAATCTGAAAAGGTGAAAAAACTAAAAGTTATTGGAGATGACCAAAACTTACAAAACCCTGCAGTGTGTTGGCAAGACTGAGAATGTATGTGGGTATCTGCACTTTTGTCGCCTGAGATTTTGGCTGGTTTTTCTCATGGTGCAGACCTTCCTGTAAGCAAAAATAACAAAAACAGAAATTAAAAGAGTTTTCATGCTAACAGAGATGGACAGAAGGAAGCTGACCTCCCTTGATAACTAACGTGGGTGGAGCACGGCGATGCATAATATTCCTGATAAAGCATTGGAGAAATGTTAGACACACTGGCTCTATTCACACCTAAAAGGATATTGGCATCCTGGCTTCACACCTCCTCTGCTTGAAGCCAGGACTATGGTCGGTCGGGCTCAAATAAGCCAACATTCATAAGCCAACGAATTAAGATTTAAAACGTGGTTTTGATCCAGGGTTCCGATGGGATTTTATTCTAAGATGAAGCAAGTCAGCTGCACAACCACAGGGCGCAATGTAAATAGGAAGACGGAGTTCAGCGCAGGGGCGTCCATGTGGCGGGATGACAACACAGACTCATGATGCAAGCAACATAATGTAGGTAAGTGATTGCACCATGTACCTGGGGATGTTCTGAGAGGCTTGTCATTTTTCTGCCACTGAGGCTTGTTACAGACATTGCTGGTCCACGAGCCGTTAATCCAAAAGCTGGGTCTCTGGGCTCGGAACCAAAAGGAATGTGCTTGCACCCATTCCTGAACCTGCAACTACAAGTGAACGACTACAGGTCGCACATACTAACTGCCCAACTTAGATTTGAGAAGTTTCGCCAGGGAGTTGAAGGCCTTTTCTGATCAACTGCAAAGCAGTCCGTGACCTCCCAATTGTTCCTGATCTACCTTCTGCCCATTTCCAGAAGGGATCCTACAGGGTAGGTGAACAAATAATGTCCACCAATGGACTGCCACCTCTTGGACTAAGTGTCCACTTTCACATCCACCCACTCAGGCTTACCAAATTGACCAAGGAATTATGAGATCCGGGGATGGAAACTGTACGCTGACGGGTATCTGCAAGCAGAACAGAGAATTAGCACCAGATCTGGGCTCAGGTCATTTGCGTAGGGTTATACAGTACCTCACCTCTTCAACTGAGAGACAGACCGGCTGCTCAGCACCAAATCCTACATAATTTCCCACAACCTGTAACATCCAAATGTGCCGGTGCTCCAACTTCTCCCATCATCACCTGTCTCTCGTGCCACTTTTCTTTAAAGATGTTGGCACAGTTAGGTTCCCCAGCAAAAATGGTATATATACAAATATGGCTGTAGGTTCCTTCATTATATCCCACCTCTTGCTTAAGACACCATTGCCCCATCCCCAGAAGGTACAACGGCAAGAGTCGGATTTTTGAAAGCTTCTTACCTTCTCCTTTGACCCTCTTAAGCAGAGTTTGGAGTTCCCCTCTGACCTCATCGAAGTTCTCTACTTGCATCTGAAAGCTTGAAATTGGAAACTTCTCTTTCTTGAGCTTCTCCAGGGACTCTTTGATGAAGGGGTGCATGTCCATCACCTCTTGGTCTGATCCAAAGAGGTCCATTTTCTCCACCATCTGCTCGCCGGCCTCCACTCGCTTGATGATCTGCTCAGCAGAGTCCAGCTTCTTCTTGGCTTCTTCCTGCTCCTGGCAGAATTGATGGTTCACTTTCTCCAAAAGTTCATCCCCCTTCTGCTGGATCCACTGGACCATCTCATCCACCTTCTTCTGGATCTGCTCTCGGGTTTCGTTCTGCAACCTCTCCAGCTTCTGCAGTCGCTCATAGACGCTCTTGTGCGCATTCTCAAAGCTCCTCTTCCTCTTGACCAGCTCCTCCTTTATCCTGCCCAGTTCCTCCTTCCGGCTCTCAATTTCCACGCGGATGTCACAGTAAAGCTTGGCATTGTAGTGTTCTCCATCGAGCAGGGCACAACAGCAACACAGTGGTTTGCGGCATCCATGACAATAGATGCTGTCAAGTACAGGCAGACAATTAAAAAAAAAAAAGACATCTCAAGTCACTTCTGTCCTCCCCTGGGTTAAAAGGACTCCATTGCCAATTTGTTTCCAAGCAAAATGAATAGTGCTGGTCAAAGTCCTAGACAGCCTGGGGCCTGGGTGGATGAGAGAACGGCCTCTCTCTATGATTTCCATCACCCATGAAGAATACCTAAGGAAATTGCACCAGCCCTTTGAGGGAGGCCAGGCCAGGCAACTGAATCCCAAAGACTACTGGAATTTTACCTTAAGGTTGCAGCCCAGAATAAGACTTGACAAGAGTTTCTCTTTCCTGCCCCTTACATGCAAGAAAAACAAGGTGAGGCAATATTGCATTCCTTTTCTCAGCTCTCCACTCTTCCAGGACGAAGCGGATGCTTATGTAACCCCCCTGGCATTCCCCCTTCAAGGTTATAGCCTTATTTTTCTACAAGCTGCCACAGATTTATCCATGGATCCATGGCCCAACCTTTCCTTTAGCTTTTCTACTCTTTGGAACACCTCTCTGGATCAATTCACTCTCTCTTAGCTTTCCCAAAGGTTTTTAAAACAGTTCTTTTTAGAAATGTTTAAACTTTGTTTCAGGCTTTACTGAAGACCACTAAAAGGCCTTGGTAGTTGGGAATTTAATCAAGAAAGACATAAGACTGGCTTAGCAAAATCTGGAGGATCCCTAGGGTTCCCCCTCCTTGCCTCGTGCTAAAAGTCTTCTGCAGGCAGATGGCATTTGCCACCAGAATCTTGGCTGGTTTGCTTAGCCAATCTGGAAGATTCTGAGTTAGACCAGGGTTGCTTGGTAATGCTGTTAGGACAGGCAGTGGGTGGGTTTGCATCTTGCATGAAGTCTTTGGATTAGCATTATTCACAGAAGCACAAAAGAACCCGAGAAAAACATAGGATTCATGCATCTCAAGCTTTCTTCTTCTTCTTCTTCTTCTTCTTCTTCTTCTTCTTCTTCTTCTTCTTCTTCTTCTTCTTCTTCTTCTTCTTCTTCTTCTTCTTCTCCTCCTCCTCCTCCTCCT